CTGTATTTGTAATGTTGTGAGTTTTATATAATGTTAAAATAAATGCCTCAACGTAGACAACACCCTTTGTATAGTGGCATTATTTTGTGAGGTTGAAATAAATAGTGATGATATTAGAAGTAGAATAGGTTGTGCTAGATTCTATTCATGTGATATATTCAAATATGTTTGTTATGGACCTATCACTTGGTGAAAGTTCTACACTCAACTTATCGGAATCCATAATTTGATGTAGGCATACCTACTTAATTTGTTATAATAATTTATTTTGCTCATAATTTTATAAATAAAGTGTTATATGACTGAAAGAGTTTACTCCTTACCTTTTCAACTCCTATGTTGGTACTAATAATATTCAATATATCAAATTAATGGTTTGAACACATTCAAATTCCGAATATACGAATTCAGATTGGAAATTAGGATATTGTACGGAATGATTTTATCCTAAGATATTATTGTGGATTCAGGTATATAGGGTACATATAGCCCTCCCTAACAACACAGGGATGTCCTAGGTACGTCCCTTTTTTGTCCCGCGGTACAAGGACATGATTAGGACATCCAGGGGATATCCTGCAGTGGTTGTCCAGTGGACATCCCGCCCGGTACATCCCTAGGTTATCCTATTCGTGTCCCTGGAGTATCTGATATCCATTCACATCAGAGTCATTGAATTACATCAAACGATTGAGTATTGAGTTGAATTTTTTTGAAAATGTTTGTTTTTCTTCCGGAAAATGATTGTAATGAAAATAAAGAATAAAGTCTCAGAACTTCTTAAGAAATTACCATTTTTCGCAGACAGAAATCGTACATACATAATGCCCCTCATTTTTAAACACCCAAGAATGATAATAATTATACCCAATTCCTAACAAAGTTGTATTTATTCAGGTTTCTGTAGTTAAGTCCTGTTTATAAATCTGTTTAGAACATAAATCTTCAGGAGGCATGATAGCCAATGGAACAAGGTGCGTGCATGATAAGCCAAAGGTCCCGGGTTCAATCACTACTCGACCTACAACTTTTTTCTTTTGTCGAAAGGAAGTCCCTGGGATATCCTTGGGACGTCCTAGGGATATCCTTTCATCATACTTGGTACATCCCAGGGACGTACCAGAAGGACATCCCTTGGATGCCTTTTTTTGTGGCCAGCGGATGTCCCTGGGACATCCCTAGTATGTACGTTGTCCCGACAAAGGACATCCCTGGGATCTCCTAGTATAAAATCAGGGACGTCCCTGGAAAGTCCCTAGGATGTACTGGTGTTATTAGGGCTTCCACAACCATTTGCCATGTCCACACCTTTGAAGACGATCTTGTTTAGGTTTTTTATTCAATTAATATTAGTATTTGAAGCAAATTTCAAACGCTCGTCATTTTGAAACGGCATGACAGATTTGCACAAACAAAGCGGAATTGTGAATTGACTCGGCCGTTACTTGATGGAAATCCATGATAAATGTAAAAACTTCACAAACGATAAGATTTCCACAAAATTTATTAAACACACGACATGTTTCGCTAACACAGTAGCTTCGTCAGGTGATATACTGGTACAATGAACTAAACTAACGTTGGCTTGCTTAACTTTTATATATCTTACCTACCCAACCTGAAGGATTAGTTACCTGTGGACCGGTACGATAAACCTCCATTTTCGGAAATTAGGCACAATATCTACATTAAATTACGGTATACCGGATCAACTTGAAAGAGTTGATATCAAATACATATTATTACTTACTAAGAAAACAAATTCAACAGTGGTGAACTATTAAGGTCTAATTGATCATTGAGTAGAATATGTCAAAATTTTTGAGTTTGTTGATTTCTAATGATTCAAAATGATTGAGTTTCAGTCCTTTATTTTCTACGTGCAGAGTTTCGAAATTATCATCAAAACTATGGTTTTCTTCTAATATATGGTTGGCGTATGTTGCGTAAGAAAAAACAAAAAAACAAATTCAACATACGCCAACCATATATTAGAAGAAAACCATAGTTTTGATGATAATTTCGAAATTCTGCACGTAGAAAATAAAGGACTGAAACTCAATCATTTTGAATCATTAGAAATCAACAAACTCAAAAATTTTGACATATTCTACTCAATGATCAATTAGACCTTAATAGTTCACCACTGTTGAATTTGTTTTCTTAGTAAGTAATAATATGTATTTGATATCAACTCTTTCAAGTTAATCCGGTATACCGTAATTTAATGTAGATATTGTGCCTAATTTCCGAAAATGGAGGTTTATCGTACCGGTCCACAGGTAACTAATCCTTCAGGTTGGGTAGGTAAGATATATAAAAGTTAAGCAAGCCAACGTTAGTTTATTCACAGTTTAAGGAAGTACCAGTATATCAACCTGACGAAGCTACTGTGTTAGCGAAACATGTCGTGTGTTTGAGAATTTTGTGGAAATCTTATCGTTTGTGAAATTTTTACAAAGCGGAATTGGATAGAGAATCAAAACAAGTTACCACGTGACCCCTCTTCATATTTGAAAGAAAAAGTTGATGGTGCCCACTTCACACTAGGTCACGTGACCACAACCATTTTCGTGACAAATAAAAGTGAAAGAGGTACTTTTTTGCCTGAATTTTACCTGACCTTTCTACGTCCTCAATGTATCACAATGTCTGATCGATGTTCCGTATTTCCGTAATTCAGATCTATTTTATGCTATTTGAATTCCAAAAAAAGATAATGAAATCAACCTATGACTTCAAAACATATTATGCACTTGTAGTAAACAAAAAAGTAACCTATTTCTAACAAAATAGGAACAAATCGGTGGATGTGGTAAGAGGTAAGAGATGTTAAAATGGCCATCGATTCAAATCATTTTATGATTTTAATTCCCAGTTTATCTATTCGGTTTGTTTTATTCAGTTATTTTGGTCACTTATTATCCTTACAGAATTATCCTTCTTTGTTAGAATAGCTTTTGAAGAACTGTGAATAAACTCCCATTTTCTGTTCGACTATCTAGAATCTCCATCCACTGATTCGAAAAAGATCTACTGGGGGCCGGGGGGATGACTATTACCCCCCTTCACAAAAAATAAAATGACAAAATCCAGGCCTGGAAATAAATGAATATGTTGATTTCCATTGAGCTACATCATTGAAAATGTAAGTTCCACTTCCATTCGTGAATTTTATGCGTTGCGAAGGAATAATTTTCAAATACACTCAGTTTCAAAAAAAGTGACGCACTCGATATTTGGCCTATCTTCTTAAAAAAAAAAATAGTAGGCCAATTTTTATTTTTTTTTCATTTGTTGGTAGGTAATGCATTTGTCTTAAAAAAAAATAAAGAGGTGGAAATTTTTTTAAAGCCTCTTTTAGCAATTAACATTTACCGCAGTATTTGATCGATTCCGTAAAATCCGCAATCTCAAGAAGCAATCATCTCTTGGAGAAGTTTTTCGGGGGCGACCAGAACCGACCCTCCGAGCGGTGCTTCCTTTTTGTTCGTACTTGTGGATTGCTCTACGAGCAGTTGGTTCATGAACTCCCCCTGCACGAGCGGCATAACGCTTACTACGCCCATCGTTTACTAACGCAACTAATCTTGCTACTTTTGCAGGATTTATTCGAGGCATTTTATGTAGTTTTAGTCAATAAAACAAGACACTTAATTAATGACACAACGACAAATGGTGAAATATGGAGGCACACAACAAATTAGTTGCTATGGCCACGGCATTTGTTTTTTTAAAGACAATGTGATCCTACCAGAGTACAACCCAATCAATTTTGAGTACTCTGATCCTTCAATAAATTGAATTTGTGGGATGAGCGTGAGGTATCAGCAAAAAAGCTGTAATTCGGAAAATTTTAGAGATAAATCAATGAATAAAAGAACAAAATGCTCGCAAAAAAAGCCTCTTTCGTATAGGGTGTAAGCACTTTCTATGCCATTACTCAATTAACACACAGGGTGAGTCAAAAACCAAGAATAAATCATGGTTCGAGTTATTCCACCACCATCAAGGAGGCTTGATGGTGATTCATCCTGTATATCTGAATCCATAATAATATCTTAGGACAAAACTATTTGGTATTGGAATTTGAATGGATACCAATTCATTTTCATCAAATTTTCAGGAAGGTGAAACTATATTTCAAGTTTGGTAACATTTATTCATTTATTTATTTATTTCCAGATCGAGGTTGTAGCCCATTTCATATTAAAGTATGCCAATTCAAAATTTTTTTTATCGCTTGGAGCGCACGAAAGGGAATCACTATAATGTTCGAAGAAAATCGTGCGTTTCTAGGGAAGATAGGGATAGGAAGTAGGTATTGGATTTTTTTGAACTTCTGGAGATTATATGTTGTTGGGAATACTTCCTGAGGCAATGAATTCCAGAGCCTAGCCGTTCTATGGATGAAGGAGTTTTGATAAAGTTCTGTTCGACATCTTTCGAGGTTGAAATCTTGGAAGTATATCATTTTTGGTGTTGTTTGATATTTATTACATCTTCTGTAACAAAATTTATTGCCAGAAACAATCTTATCAACAAGTCTTAGGCTTGAAATGAATAGGTAGGTACGTTCTACACTACACTGTTCTACCACTAACCAAACCGATTTTTTAACGCCTCGACACGTGTTTCGCTAACTATGTTAGCATCTTCAGGAGAAGATTAAAACTGTTTTAATCTTCTCCTGAAGATGCTAACATAGTTAGCGAAACACGTGTCGAGGCGTTAAAAAATCGGTTTGGTTAGTGGTAAAACAGTGTAGTGTATTATCGTGCCAAAGGTTCCAGTCTTCGATATATAGGTACGTTCTAATTATTATTGATTTCTGATTTGTATGTACCACCTTCTTAGAGGTGAACTGACTGCGAACTATTGAGTACAAAGTATCAATTCTTCAAACGTTTATCTGAAGAAACATTTGGTGAGTATAATTAGTCACTTTGATAAGACAATGTGGCAACAAAATTTTATTGACTACATTTATGTTGAACTCATGAACTACGAGATATACATTCTTTTGAAGATAAGCTTCAATCTTAGTTCCATCTTATAGGCCTATGTGAATGGAGTGATCGGAGAAATGAACTCGGCATTTTTTTGCGTTTTGTACGTTCTGTTCCTGGACGTTAGGGCCATACCCACCAGCCTGCTCTACGACTACAATGTTCCTGAGGCGGTTTATCTTCCTAAAGAAGACGACATCGCGAGTGACAAAATCAATCTGAGGGATCCGATAATCTTTTTTGGTATTGAATATGAAACGATTTTCGTAAGTACCTATAGAGAACAGCAAAACTGCCTTATCGAATACCAAATTTAGATTTTACGGATATGTTCGAGTATGAAGTAGAAATATGTTTTGCACCTTGTACGGAATATTTTTATATATTTTTCATGTTTCTCAAGGCATCTTTGATTCCAGAGTTACATTAACTCAACTTTGGTTCTTCTCATGGCTGTTATATTAGATTTTTCTATCTATCCATTTTTCGTAAGTATTTTCCTGATTACAGAACGTATTATATAATCTGATCAAATTTTAATCGGGAAAGAATCCTAGTCGCCAAGAGTACTTTGGATGGAAACACAAACAATTTCGTTTATCAATAGTTTTATTTGTATTAAGTTCGTGAAATTAATGTTTTTTTTAATAACACATAGGTGTTAATTTTTGACCGAGACTGCAAGTCGTGACAAAAAATTATCTCGAATGTACCATGAAAACACGATGAATTTTATTGGTACACAAAATACAAACAACATTTTTTGTACGTGAATGTGAATTTACAAAATTGAGATCTCTTACATATCGGGTGGTCAAAAAAAAACCGGAAGTTTTTATTTTCCTGGTGGTTTCATCATTTTTCAACCGGATTCGAATTACTTGGCGTCGTTTCATAGCTAAAGGGCTATAGTATACAGTGGAATATTTGAAAATAATAATGAACAAAAACAAAATGGCGGATTCCACCAAAGTATTGTCATTTACAAAAACCGCTGGAGAAAAAAAATCTGATTTTTTCCAACCTGTACCGATGTCATCTTAGGCTATTCATTTCTGAAGAGAATGAGTACTCGAACATCGAAATCGAACAAATAGTCCAGTCGATACACTCATTTCTTTGCAATTTGCTATGCATGGAGTGAATGTGCTAATCTCGAATAAACGATTATCATTATTTTGCTTCAGGCTTCATGGAAATTCAATCGAATTTGGATTTCTTAGAGTTATTTCAAAGATAAAGAACTGTAGTACACAGTGGAACATTTGAAAATCCAATAATTGGAATAAACAAAATGGTGGAGAATCCAGAATTTTTGTGATTTTCAAAGATCTCTGGCGAATAAAAAAATGTTTATTCTTCCAATCAGGACCGATTCAATTTCAGATCATTGATTTCTTGAAAGAATGAGCACTGGAACATCTGAATCGAACAATTAGTACAGGAGAAACACGTTCTTTTTGGCAAAGTGTTATGGAGTGAATGTGCCAATCCCGTGATAAGAATTAATTTCAGTTTGTTCCTGGCTTCATCAGAATTCAATCGAATTTTGATTAATCAGTACACAGTGGAACATCTGAGAATTCCATAATTGCAAAAAAATGGAGTATCCCTAATTTGAGTGATTTTCAAAAACCGCTAGCGAATAGAAAAATGTTAATGTTTCAATTCAGAGCCGGAGTAATTTTATATCATTGATTCCTAAAGAGAATGTGAACTTGAACATCTGGATTTAACAAATAGTCCAGAACTTGTACGCACTTTTTTGCAAAGTTATAGAGTGAATGTGCCGAAAAACGAACTTCTAAAAATAAATTTCGATCTGATTACAACATGCTAACAGCAACAACAACATAACATAATTCATTATTTAAATTTATAGTATAGTACTCCTGCGCATACGGCGCGCGCAACTATTGATTATCTCAATAACAGAGTTCCTTATCTAATAGAACCAACAATGTGGCCTCCAAATAACCCGGACTTGAACTCTGTAGATTTTAATGTCTGGGGTACCTTACACGAACGGGTTTTTACAAATGAAAAGAACTTCAAGAACTTGAAAGATTTGAAGAAAATAATTGATTATTGCGTAGAAAATGCGATGCTTGAGTTAGAAATAGCCCGGTCGATACAGAGCTGGCTCAGTTCCGGAGTTGAAGCAAAAGGGATACACATTCAGGTCATTTCAAAATGCATTATGTTTTGACAACAACTAGTATAGAGTTTTATATATTTTCAGGGTTTCACGCAATCTTCATGGACTTACATCTCGATGTCAATATCAACATTTTTCAATTTTGAAATTTTCAGATGTTCCACTGTGTACTACAGCTATTCAGATTTGGAATGGCATTGAGAAATCCAAATTCGATTGAATTCTGATAAAGCCAGAAGCAAACTAAAAATAATTCTTATCACGGGATTGGCACATTCACTCCATAACACTTCGCCAAAAAGAACGTGTTTCTCCAGGACTAATTATTGTTCGATTCAGATGTTCGAGTGCTCATTCTTTTTAGAAATCAATGATCTAAAATTGTATCGGTCCTTATCGGAAGAATGAACATTTTTTATTCGCCAGAGATTTTTGAAAATCACAAAAATTCTAGATACTCCACCATTTTGTTTCTTTCAATTATTGGATTTTCAAATGTTCCATTGTGTACTACATCTTTGAAATAACTCTAAGAAATCCAAATTCAATTGAATTTTCATGAAGCCTGAAGCAAAATAATAATAATCGTTTATACGAGATTAGCACATTCACTCCATAACAAATTGCAAAGAAATGAGTGTATCTACTGGACTATATTTTCGATTTTGATGTTCGAGTACTCATTCTCTTCAGAAATGAATAGCCTAAGATGACATCGGTACAGGTTGGAAAAAATCTGATTTTCTTTTTCTCAAGCGGTTTTTGTAAATGACAATACTTTGGTAGAATCCGCCATTTTGTTTTTGTTCATTATGAAATTTTCAAATATTCCACTGTATACTATAGCCCTTTAGCTATGAAACGACTCCGAGAAATTTTAATTAGGTTGAGAAATGATGAAACCACGAGGAAAATAAAAACTTGTAATATCTGATAAAATTGTGGAATAAATAAACTCTTATTCAAGAATTATCTAACGGTTCTAATCAGCAGCAACATGGGAATCTTCGGGAATTTATAATTGGAATCGTTTTATGATGAATAATCAATAGATAATTGACTTTGTCAAAAATAAATCCTTCACAAAGTAATATTTCATGTTTATTTTCTGAATTATTTTGGACGTGAGGTTTACATTTAGGCATCAATAGCCATGCAACATTGTCAAGTTTTTTTGATAGTTGCACAAAAACAAACTTTTGACAGTTCGGTTGAGAATGCGTGAAAAACTTTCGAGAGTTCCTTCGTGTTTCTACAAGAGTGTCATTTTCTAGTGAAGAAAAGCGTTCAGATTTATTAGGGCCCGCATCAAAATTCAAAAATTACGATTGAAACGTTCCTTCGAATTATTTTTTATTGCCTCATAGGGATTCGAACAATTATGTTCTATTTCTGCAGCCATTTTATTTTAAAAATAATTTGTACTCATCGATTTTGAAGCTGAGATGAACCATAATCAATACATTTTTGGTCGATCATGCCAAAGAAATGATTGACATCGCGCCATCTTTTAAAAATCTGAGAAAACGAGTAGAATTGTGTTTGGAGGTGGAAGGTCTAGTTTCTATCTCATCACGTCCTTCCTACTTCAAATCCTTTCGATGGAAATATAAACCTTCAGTTCCAAATTCAAATGAACTGTGAAATCTAGTTTTTCTACGAACGTCAAAAAATTACAAGGTTCGCACATTGATAAATATATGCGGTGACACTTTTTTGTTCGTTTGCTACGTCACCACGACACCGTGTGCGAAGTAATGCGCGAAGTAAAACGGTGCGAAAAGTAGATACTTCGCGCATTGTTGTAAACTTATATGAGATTTTTGTATTCAATCTTTATGGTCCTCAATGGAGCAAATATATCCAAGAAATAAATTATTCCTGAATGTTTAACAATACTAAGGTCTTTGAAGCCAGTTCAACACAATCTTTTTATAATCATTAAGCTAAGCATATTACTCCTTTCGAACTATATTTTTCGACGTTTGTAGAAAAAATGTTGTTTGCAACTCGTTCGCGAAATATTTCGGTCTTGCATTTCGCGCACTAGATACAAATATAACTAGTCCGGAAAATACTGTTTTTCTGCAACCGACACAAAAGTCGTCCATTTTGATACCAAAATTAGCTCTTAAATTGACGTTTCTATTACTGACACAAAAATAGGTATGTTGCTAGGCAACATATTTAGTTCCTAGGAGCTAAAGTTGAATTTTAGTTCCTAGGAGCTAAAGTTGAACTTTAGCTCCTAGGAACTAAAAATGATGTACTGGTAGTCATCAAGAATAAACAACATTGTGATGGTTGGTCTCGCGGTTGGTTATCTGGGTTGAGACGCATACCTGATTTGTTTCCGATTTCAGCAGCTTTGGCATTTCATACCCATGCTGGAGATATAAATACACCTTATTATAGTTTAGTATTGGAATTATAAACATCTCAGTTGAGTATTTTTGTTTTGATCAGGGAAGCCTTCAAGATTCAAATACTTGCTTGATCTGTATTTCATTCGTTATTCTCGGGATGGATAACTTGTTTTTGAATAATCACGGCAAGCAATAGTTTTTTTGTCTCAAACAACGATATTGTTTAGCTTCATTTTTGATTATCAAACACATTGTAGTATGGAGAGGAATAAATAATCACTATTATCATTGTTGATATGCTCACTAACCTAAAATTTTCCACGTCTTGTTCCTATAGCTGGCTCTAGCGCGGTCGAACATCCTAGAAAACCTAACCTGCTGTTAATGCAAGTAGAATATTCTCACCATCACATGGATTATTTGTCAATATTTGTTGCATTGCATACATATGGCACAGCATTGGTGGTTATTACTTCACATGTTTATTTGAGTCAATAGTTTCGGTCGCAGAAAAAATAGCATGTTTCATTCGGATCAAAAGTGACTTTGTTCGACTCGCAAATTTTGCTTTCGCTCGGCTTCGCTAAACACTCCGCCTCGCAAATGCAAAATTCGCTTGTCAAACAAAGTGTCACTTTTGATCCTAATAAAACAATTTACTATTTTTTTGACGAGTACACAAAATTCTTGGACGAGCCGTAGGCGAGTCCTGATGTGTTGTGTACACTATTTTTTCGGCAAC